TCTTATTCTAGACTAGGTACTAGGATCGAGGTATCTAGTGTTTAGGGTTTAGGGTTTAGGGTTTAGGGTTTATGAGGGTTTAGGGTTTAGGGTTTAGGGTTTAGGGTTTATGAGGGTTTAGGGTTTACCTGAGACAAACTTGAGAAAATTTTGTTTTTGAAAAATATCAAAGTCGAAGAGAATTTCCCACAACGATTGAATGTATGGAGAGTCTGCGGTATACCCTTCATACCTAAACACCACACAAAACCCTAAACCCTAAACCCTAAACCCTAAACCCTAAACCCTAAACCCTAGATTCTGGTGTAGAGAGAACAGGGGAAGGGTTTTGAATGTCAACGGGCTTTAAACCTCTCCAAACACTAAACCCTAAACCCCTCGGTACACGCTAAACCCTCAAACCCTTGCCTTGACCCCGTAAACCCTAAACCCTAAACCCTAAACCCTAAACCCTAGATACCTGCAAGAGGCCCTGAGTTCCTCGAAATTGAGTTCAGGGGTTCCACACAAAAGCAGCTGCAGCTCTGGCCCAGTTAGACTCGATAAGAGAGGAGACACCATCAAACTAAAACCTTTTTTAAAGTAATAAAACTAAATAAAAACAAAAACAAAAAAACAAAAGGAGACAGAGAAGGAGACAGAAAGATAGAAAGCATGATAAAAGAGAGAGAGAGAGAAAGAAAGAATTAAAAAGGAGACAGAGAAAAGGAGACAGAAAGAAAGAATAGATGAAAAAGGAGACAGATAAAAGGAGACACCATCAAACTAAAANAGAAAAGGAGACAGAAAGAAAGAATAGATGAAAAAGGAGACAGATAAAAGGAGACACCATCAAACTAAAACCTTTTTTAAAGTAATAAAACTAAACACAAACAAAAACAAAAGGAGACAGAAAAGGAGACAGAAAGATAGAAAGCATGATACAGGAGACAGAAAGAAATTAAAAAGGAGACAGAAAGAAAGAATTAAAAAGGAGACAGAGACAGAAAAGGAGACAGAAAGAGAGAATAAAGGGAAAGGGAGACATTTACAACCCTAAACCCTAAACCCTAAACCCTCAACTGCCTTCGCGCGTCGTCAACTCTAGGCACCGTTCAAACCAGCACCTTTGGGAGCGTTCAGGGTTTAGGGTTTAGGGTTTAGGGTTTAGGGTTTATTCGTGTTTACTAGTGTTTAGGGTTTATTAGTGTTCATTAGGGTTTACTATGTTTTAGGGTTTAGGGTTTATGATGGTTTAGGGGCTACTAGGGTTTAGAGTTTATTACTGTTTCCTATTATCTACTAGGGTTTAGGGTTTAGGGTTTACGAGGGTTTAGGGTTTACCTGCCAGTGTACNAGGGTTTACGAGGGTTTACCTGCCAATGCACCGAGGTAACAAGAAGATATCGTGTATAAAGCTCAACAAACCCTTTTCTTTTTTTTCTTTATCTACGCAACTATTTCCTATTGTTTATTAGGGTTTACGAGGGTTTAGGGTTTACGAGGGTTTAGGGTTTACCTGCCAATGTACCGAGGTAACAAGAAGATATCGTGTATAAAGCTCAACAAATTCTTTTTTATTTTTTAAAGATAAAACTGTCTCTTCTCCTTTTTCTTTTAATAAAATTTTTTTTTTTTTTCCGTTTGCTGTCTCCGCGTCGATACAAAATGTCATTCCCTCAAATGCAGCCTGAAATACAAACCCTAAACCCTAAACCCTAAACCCTAAACCCTAAACCCTAAACCCTAAACGATAAACGATAAACGCTGAACGCTAAAACATAAAAGGTAACACCTAAACCCTAAACCCTAAACGCTAAACGCTAAACCCTAAACCCTAAAACCTAAAACCTAATACACACTAACAAACCCTAAACCCTAAACCCTAAACCCTAAACCCTAATAAACCCTAATAAGCACTAATAAACACTAATAAACACTAAACCCTAGTAAACACTGAACCCTAGTAAACACTAAACACTAATAAACCCCAATAAACACTAATAAACACTAATAAACAGTAATAAACACTAAACCCTAGTAAACCCTAAACCCTAAACCCTAATAAACACTAATAAACACTATTAAACACTAATAAACACTAAACCCTAATAAGCACTAATAAACACCAATAAACCCTAAACCCTAAACCCTAAACCCTAAACCCTAAACCCTTGGCCATACATTGAAGGTCTCCTCGTCGTCTATCTCCAGCAGTTTCTCAAAACTGTTCAGCTCCTCAGGGAACACATCGCTGCAAAACACAAACCCTAAACCCTAAACCCTAAACCCTAAACCCTAAACCCTAAACCCTAATTAATATATCACGTACAGAAGCAATCGAAATTTTAACCCCCAGCTCTCCAATCCCTAAACCCTAAACCCTAAACCCTTGAAATCTCTGCAAGCAGAACCACGCCTAAACCCCAAACCCTAAACCCTAAACCCTAAACCCTAAACCCTAAACCCTCGCTTACCTCAGGTCATCGATCGAGACGTCTGCGCCTTGCAGCTGTTTATACACCTGAAAGCAGCAAAACGTTGGGGTGTACAGGCACCTCAAACCCTTTCTATTCTGCTGCTATTGCTGCAGCTCAGCAGCAGCAGCAGCAGCAGCAGCAACAGCAACAGCAACAACACAAGCAGCAGCAGCAGCAGAAACGCAAGCAGCAACAGCAGCAACAGCAGTGAAAGCAGAAGCAACACAAGCACCACCAACAGCAACACAAGCAGCACCAACAGCAACACAAGCAGCAGCAGCAGCAGCAGCAGCAGCAACAGCAGCAGCAGCAGCAGCAGCAGGAGTGTATAATATCTTACAACAAGGGGGAGACTGAGAGGCATAAGTATATCGTTATAAACAGCAATAGAGGCGAGGAGACCCGTAAGCCAATATTCTTTAGCTTTTCCTTCAGGGATTGCAGGCAGCTGCTTGCTGCTGCTGCTGCTGCTGCTGCTGCTGCTGCTGCTGCTGCTGCTGCTGCTGCTGGTGTTGGTGGTGGTGGTGGTGTTGGTGTTGCTGGGGGTTGCTGCGTTTGTGTCGCCTGCGGGTGCCTCTTGCTGCTGCTGTTGAGGCGATGGTTGTGCTGCTGCCGCTGCTGCTGCTGCTGCAGCACCTGCTGCTGTTGCTGCTGCTGCTTCTGCTGCTGCTGCTGCTTCTGCTGCTGCTGCTGCAGCAAGTGTCTCTGGTGTCTCCTCTTGCTGCTTAAACCACAAAGTACGGACCCCCGGATTATAAACGAAGAGACCCCGAGAAGGAGAACAAAGCTCACGTGTAAGCAACTAAAAAAAAAAAAAAAAAAAAAAAAAAAAAAAAAAAAAAAAAAAAAAAAAAAAAAAAAAAAAA